CCCCACTCCGCCCGGGATCTCCCTGTTCCCCCCCGGGGCTCCCCACTCTGCGGGGCTCCGTGGCCCAGGGCTCCCCAGGATGACCAGACAGCAAATGTGAAAAATCAGGACGGGGTTGGGGGGTAATAAGAACCTATATAAGAAAAAGACCCCAAAATCGGGACTGTCCCTATAAAATCGGGACATCTGGTCACCCTCCCCCTCCCCCTGGGGTCTCTTGTGCCCGGTGCCCCCATGCTCTGTCCGAGGAGGTGTCATTGCCCGTCCCTGGCGCCGACCCGCCTCCCAAAGCACACTGCCAGGCACACCCCGCTGCAATGCATCTGCCTCTGGGGTGGGATGTAGCCAGGGTTTAAGGGCCGGCCGTGGCGCTGCACCACCGCTTAGGGCAGGAACTGGCAAAGAATTCTGCCACTCGTTGGACCTTCCAGGGGGGTAGAATCCAGTTACCCAAATGATGATTGACCCTGGGCATTGGGGTGAACGACACAAAACTTAAAAGTGCCCTGGAATTGCTAATGACCACCAAGTCCGCTTTGGTGACTGATTTCCTGCTAAGTCCCACTCTGAGACCACAGTGGTGCACCTGGTTAAAACAGATCCCATAGGTCTGTAGATGATCGATACTCCTAGATGCTATGCAGTTGCGTCATTCTTCCTTCTAATTCTGAATACAGCAGTATTCAGATAACTTCAGCTTTCAGCTGAGATATGTGAACAGACTTCTTTACATTTTGTCCTTGTATCAAGAACTGAATGTTTCTCTATGGAGAATGGAATGGAGACATTCTGAGTACATTTGTAGGGGGCATTGGTGCATGTGTGTGTGAGAGAGAGAAGGAAAAAAATCAAGGTCAAGATGAAGTCGTGTTTATATGGCAAAAATCACTTGACATTAAACAAATATGGTTTAGAGAATTTCCAGCCAAAAAGAGGATGGCTTAGGTAAATAGCCTCTGAGTTTGAAATAATTGTGAGAGAGGGCAAAGGTATTGTTTGCAGTATAAGAGCAAAAAATGATGTCAAATACTTGGTGAGGGGTAGGGACTTGGCAGCATCCACCTCCATGCCTCTTCTGCTTGGTCATTGCCTGGACACCCCTTTGTTGCCAAAATATTCTATAAGAGGCTTCTTCGCTGCGGAAATGACAGCTGAATATTTAGCAACTCAGGACAGGGAGTGGTTTTTTGTGGAAGTGAGTCAGCACCACTCTTGATGAAGCAGCAACTCTGCTGCGTGAAAGATTAATTCCATGAATGTAATTAAACAGGGGCACTCAATTCATGAGAAGCATCTGTTTAATGCACAAAAGCAATAAAAGTGAGGGATCAGGGCTTCTCCAAGACTGGTCCCTGCCAAGTCACTAAGCAGTTGTCATTAAGGTATTGAAGGCTCTTCTTGGCGTTAAGAACCACTTCAGCTGCTGCTGAAGTCCTGGGAATAATGCAGCTTCATGTAACTTCGGAGTCCAGTTCTGGATTGCGTAAGTGAAAAGATTTTGCCAAAGAAATATGTAAGGAAACCTCACAGAATTTGGATGTAAACTACTATTAATGATTGATTTGCATTAAAGATTTTTCTTTTTGCTGTGCTTGGGAATCACTTACAGTATTAAGATCCACTCTTGTAGTGACAAGTGTCTGCAAGGGTGGGAAATATGTCTGGGTGGGAGGGTGGGAAATGTGTCTGCAAGCTGTGTGGAAACTTTTTAAAGACACCATAAGAGAGGCTCAACTTAAATGTGTCCCCCAAATTAAAAAACATAGTAAGAGAACCAAAAACGAGCCACCATGGCTAAACAACAAAGTAAAAGCAGCAGTGAGAGGCAAAAAGGCATCCTTTAAAAAGTGGAAGTTAACTCCTAGTGAGGAAAATAGAAAGGAGCATAAACTCTCA